ACATACACACACACACACAGGCTTTTTTTTTTTTTTTTCCCTCCAATTTGCTGGATTTGCAATGAGACCCTGGAAATATTTTCCTCCACTTCTTTTGAATTTCCTTAATTTCCACATACCAGTCATCCAATCATATACTCATGTCAGAACCTTTGCAATCTGAGCTCATTATTTATATATTTCCTAATTTGTGAATGTGGCATTGTGTAATAGCACCTCTGTTCTCCAGTGCTCTACTTGAAACATTCCGTACAGCTTTGTCAATGCTCTGTCCAATGAGTCTGATAAAGGCATATAGCACAAAGAGGATGAGTAAGGTTACTACCTTATCCAAGAACTCTCAACACCAGGAGAGAATTCGAGACAGACTAGACTCTATTAGACTCCATCACACAGAAAGCAGAACTCTTTCCAAGGCAATTTTACCATTCTTTTCTTTCAAGAAAACTGACCACAAATACTCTAGAGTCCATTAGTAGGGTTGGATTGCTTTTCTCCTATCTTCCAGAAGACTCATTAGAAAGAAAGAACACACACACACACGTGTATGTATACATGTGTGTACATACGTGTATATATATATTTTTTCTTTTTATCCAAAAGTTGTTTCCAACTCCAAGGAGTATGGAAAAAAACAAGCCCTCAGGGAATGTGGTCAATAAACTAGATGGACATAAATCTAACATGAGAAATATTATGGAATACAAAGATCCAACAAGAATCTTTCCTATGGCAATGGGCCTCAGAGCTCATATATATTTCTCCAGAATGATTTCTCTTTGTGATGTATTAGAGCTAAGGAAAAAATTTGCATAACGAGCCTCATCAACTTGCTGTCTCAAAAACAAAACAAAACAAAAAATCTCTGAGCCTTGACATCAAATGAGAATGTTCAATTTGACACTCTTCGTATTTCTTGTGTAGCACTTTATCCAAAATACTTGGCACATTTTGAATGTGTAGGTTTGGAAAAATGTAAAGCAACCACATCTTTAATACTAGTGCTTCCCATGTTGATGAAGGGCATCAGAGATGAACATGTCTCTTAGGTAACCAGTTAGAACATACCCTCAAACTCCAAAATGCCTCTTAGATACCTAATTTTTTCCCTCCAGAAAAGCCCAACTCTAAGACTGTGTATAAAGACACCAAAACACTTGGTCACAAAGTAAAAAAAAAATGTGGTGAGTCAAAACGCTGGACCAGCAACCAGTCTGTCAGATTTTTTTCTCCCCCACTGAAATAATTAACCGGTTGTCCTGGTATCAACAGCAACAACAAAGAGATCATAGAAGTTTGCTTCAAGATCAACCTAGAATGTTTTTGTTTACATACGCAAATATGGTTAATTAGATGCAAAATTATCTGGTAATTACTTTCCCAAATAACTCTCTTTATTCCGTTGCATTTGAACTTCCGAGTTTGAACAAGTAGCATCCACGCAGGCATTAGCAAATTTAAGTATTAACATTGACAACATTCCACTTAGGAGCAAAAGTAATGGTATCAAAAGACAACATTCAAAAACTGAATAATACAAGGTATGACTCCAAGAAGAAAGATTTTTTCAAGTGCTCTTGGAGAAGCCCAGGTTTTTAATAAAGAAGCAGAGATCTGAAGAGAAGTATTTTTAAATGAGCACACACATCAACTGAAAATGTTGAAAACCATACATCTTCGTCTGCAAAAACAGGGCTTTACTTCATTGACCATGGACAATTATCAGCTAAGGAACCATGTATTTCTCCTTTCCTTTCACACTCCTCAGAAGAACAATAACCCTCAATTAATGACACAACAGTTTGGTTTGAAGAATGTGATGTTGTCATATACAGCATTGTGCATTTGCTGAGTGACACTGCTACCAGCTACTCAACAGAATATAATTACATCTGGAATCTAAAACCACTTCGATATGCACAATAATACTGTAGACATAGGAACTTTACACACATACACACACACACACACACACACACACAAATCTGACACATAATGAGAAAGCAGAGCAAGAAAAAAGCTGGTGTAAGTCGCTCACCAATGTGTTCTTTATTTCTGTTGAAGCTGGTACCTTTCTATGTCCCTCCTTAGCTGAAAACGAGGTCCAGTCAGCCTCCTTATTAATATATTAATTGGTTCTGAATCTCCTCCAAGTTGTCATTCCACCGTGGAGGCTTCCTCACCTATCTTATCAATAGTCCACCTAAAATTCTTCCAACATCTTCCCTCACCCTCAAGATGGCTACCTTACCTAATGGTAAAGCAACATCTTCATGGTTGGCTTTTATAAATTCCTCAAGCATTTCAGGACCGTGTCCTTTACTTGGATCAATCACGTACATTCTCTAGAACTAATCTGTGAAGAGCTCCAATCAACGTGTGTGGACTGGGGTAGGATTGGGTCCTTCCTTCAAATCATCCTCACAAAATGTCTTCCTACAGGACCACTAAATTCTGCCCAATTAAAAAGGTGAAGATACCTGGACCTAAGGTTTTCTCCACCGACACAATATTGTAAAAATTTGTTTCCATAGTGACATTGTTAAGAAGACATCTGATATTTCTGAAGACTTACAGTCCTTGAGAACAGAGAGAAAAAGAGCAGAACGAAGGGGAAGGGGGAAAACAAAGGGACTAACAGAAGGCCTTGTGCACAGATGGAACAACCTGAAGAGAAATGTGGACTCTGGAGAAACTGGGGTCAGTCTTAGGAGTTCCTCTGAGATCTTGCAGGATTTGTTGCGGCTGTGGTTGCTGTTGTTGTTCTTTCCCCTTTTTGCAAGAAGTCAGCCCACACCAGACAATAAAGTCTTGCCATGCACCAAATCATGGTGATCACCAAGCCCCAGAACTCCCGAGTCTCAGCTTAGGGCCACCACCATCTTCGCAACGAGGCAACAACAATCCCTGGTGACTTTTCAGGAGACCTGGAGCTGCTTAAAAGTTGGGTGAAGACCTCGGTGGAAAACGTGTAAGGCTCTCCCTTGCCTTTCCTGAAGGAGGTCAGAACCCTTCAGGTCCACTCCCGAGAAGAAAAAAAATTTCCAAAGTTTACTTTAAAATGGAAACAAACGCCTCAATAACTTGTGAAAGCACTCCTTTGGTGGGAGAAAAACCTGAGCAGCCCTTCCAGTAAGTCCCCTGGTTCCCTTGCATAATGAATAGATGGTGAGGAACCACCACACAAGATTTCACCCTGGAAAAGGAGGAGTAGGCAGGCAAGCCTAAGCCTAAGCCTAAGCCTCCTCCTCCTCCTCCTCCTCCTCCTCCTCCTCCTCCTCCTCCTCCAGCCATCACCAACAGAGCTTCAAAATGGAGACATCCATAATTTTATAAACACTTCTCATCTCAGCTTTGTCTCCTGGAAACCCGCTCTCCTCCATTTTCTGGTGGAGTTACAACATGACACGGCTTACCTGACTCAGTTCCCAGCTCTCAGCCCAACTAGTCACTTCCTCCCCCAAACCTGCAGGCCACCTCCAGGAACAAAACCCAGAGCAGACCAAGCAACCAACACAGACACTCAGACACAACCCCCCGGGGAGCCCTGGGAGAAAGCCCCAACTGGTTGGTCTTTTCCCATCCCAGACGCGTGCTTAAAAATAAAACTTTTTTTCCCCCCCCTTTGGGTAGAGGAGGAATATAAAAGGAACTCCGGGCGGCCTCCCTCCCTCTCTTGGAGGTTAGAAGCTACAATGAAAAGAAAACGAGGGTTCCTTCAGGAAGGGTGAAAAGCCTGGAGAATGAACGTGAGAAGGAGCTTTGTGTTTTGGAGTCTGGACTGGAACCAAAGCAGACAGCTTGCAAATGGAGGACAGGGAGATAAAGAAAGGGAAAGAGAGGGGCTGCTCCAATGGGGGGCGGCTGCGGCTCCCCCTCGTGCCTGCAAGGAGGGCAGGCCCCTGGGACCCGCAGCAGGAGTGGGGCGACCCCCAGGCCCCTGCCTTCTTATTCTCCCCTCCTCGGAGCCAAGCGTGTGTAATGGCTTCTCCTCTCCAGAAACCGTTGTCCTCCTCCACCAGACGCTTCTGAACCCCCAGCCTGGAGACAGCTCCTCAGCTGCTCCCCAACCTGCGCGCGCGCGCCCCCCCCACCCCCGCCCCGCGGGCCGGGCCCGCGCCCCCCAGCTCCTCGCCGCTCCGCTCCCCGGCGGCCCCGGGCGGCCCCGGCAGCGGCCGCCACCCCCCCACCCCCCCACCCCCCGCCCCCGCCGCATCCCGACCCCGCATCCCAACTTCGGGGAGAGAGAGCGAGAGAGCGAGGGAGCGAGAGAGCGAGGGAGCGAGAGAGCGAGAGAGCCAAATACCTGAGCAAGAAGAGGGGGGTGCCGATCCGCACGGCTTTGCCATCGGGCTGGGGACGGGCAGACAGAGAGGGGGGCAAGGAAGGAGAGGGACAGAGCAAGAAAGAGGTCAACGCGCTCAGGTCGGGGCGGCCCGGAGCGCTCGCTCCCCGGCCCCTCGCTCGCTCCCGCCCTCCGCCCCCCTCTCCGTCCCTACTCCTGTCCCCGCGCCCGGAGCATCCGTCCTAAGCCTCCAGCTCTCTTCTCACTCATCTTGCATTTTCTCTCCTCTCTCCGTAAGAACTACGCGAAATTAATTAAGCCACAGCGCTCCGCTCCCCCCCAGCAGAAGGAGCCGCCAGCAGGAAAAGCACAGCCACCTCCACCGCCACCGCCACCGCCACCGCCTCCTCCTCCTCTTCCTCCCTCGCTTCTCCTCCTCCTCCTCCTCTTCCTCCTCCCCCTCGTGCTCTCCCTCCTCCCCCTCCTCCTCCTCCTCCTCCTCCTCCCCTGCCCTCTCGCCGCTTCTCCTCTCCCAACAGCCAGTCCAGGCGGGGGACTTCCTCTCCTCCCCGCTCCGCCAACCCTCGTCGGCCGAATGAATGAGCGCGCCTGTGCCTCCAGCGCCCCGCGCTCTCCGCCCCGCAGCACCCGGAGCACCCGGAGCACCCGGAGCACCCGGCCCACCCCGGGCTGCTGCTTAATTGCAGTAACTTACAGAAGAAGCGTCCCGGCGCCGGGAGGTGTTTCGGGTTCTCCAGCCCCACCGCCTCCTCAGCCTCTTTCTCTTTCTCCTCTTCCTGCTCGGGTTATTGTTGTGGAAGTTGTTTGGAAGTCTCATGTGCTTGTGCCGGGTCTCAGCAATGGAGGATCGCCATCTTCCCTGCCTTCCTCGGCTCCTCAGACTCGCTGCAGCTGCAGATGACCTGAGATATCCGTCTCTCCCTCTCCGTCTCCCTCTCGCTCTCGCTCTCGCTCCCCTCTCTCCCTCCCTCCCTCTCCCTCTCCCTCTCCCTCTCCCCTCTTCTCTCCCCTCTCCTCCCTCTCCCTCGCGCGCTCGCTCTCTCCCTCCCTCTGTGTCTCTCTCTGAATAATGAGCAACCAGAGGGAGAGAGAAAGCGAGACCGAGGGAAGGGAGACGATCTTCTCCTGCCACACAAAACGCCGGAGCACCAGGGGGTGCGCGAAGCCTTTCTAATAACAACGACAGCGCGCGGGAGACGGGAAGAAAAAGGAGAGAAAGAAAGGAACGAGGAAGGGGCTGGGGGAAAGAAAGGGAAGAAGGATCCAAGAGCTGGAGAAGAAGAGCAGAAGGAGACGCGCTGGAGGAGATGCTGAGGCTGCGGCTGCCGTCCCCCCTCCCCCCTCCCCCCTCCCCGCGCTGAACCCCAGAAGGAGGCAAGGTGGTTGCAAAGTTAAGGCTGGGACATTGTCTTTGTCGCTCAGAGCAACACAGAGCCAGGCCAGTGAGATGCAAGAGGAGGAGGTGGCGGCGGCGGCGGCGGAGGAGGAGGAGGAGGAGGAGGTGGAGGTGGAGGAGGAGGAGGAGGAGGAAGAGGAGGAGAAGGAGGCAAAGGAGGAGGAGAAGGGGAAGAGGGAGATGAGACGAATAAAGACCTGCGGGGAAGGCGGTGCGAGGAGCGCGGCGGCCGGGCTGGGGCGTGCGCGCTCGCGTCCCGGAGGCGCCCGGCCGCCCTGGCCGGCGGAGGAAGCCCCCAGCGCCCACCCTGCCCGGCCGCCCCGGGCTCTCCCACCATCAGCCCGGGCCCCTGGGAGCCCCTCGCGCGCATCCATCGGGAGGCCAATCTTTGCAGAGAACATAACACGGGGAACTAGAGGTTGCAAGTCTAAACCCAGATCAACCACGTGGGGCTTTTTAATCCCTTTCCAGCCTGCGGTGTGAGTATCTCCAGTGAAAAGCTCAAATTGTCCATTACTGGCACGTATTTTGAAGTCTTCTCCCCCGAAATAAAGGCGCATTGTGCATTTTATTTCTTTTCTGATATGGAAAGGGGTGTAGGGGCTGGGGGTGGGGGGGGTGGGGAGGGAAAGAACCCATCATTCCGAGCATCGGAACCACCACTTTATTTTCCCAACTTGTGAAATGTTTTGACGGCGCACCAAAAGGGAAAAAAAAAAAAAAAGAGCCTACCTAAATAACTTTACACCCTCCAGCCCCGCGTTGTTTGCACTTTCTGGCTGATCATCTAAAGGCTCGGAAAGTAACAATCAGCGCTTCTAATGATAAGGTGTCATGGTGTTGAAGACAAGAGAACCAAGATGAAGCTTTCACACCTTGAATTTTTATTTGGTGTAATTTTCCCCCAAATCGTTCTGAACTATCTCTTTTGCAAAGGGATGGAATGGGTTCCCCCCCCCACCCTTCACCACCACCAGGTCGCACGTCTCTCCTAAGGCTCTAATTTGATGGAGTGGGGTGGGGTGGGGAGGGGGACGGTCTGTGCCTACACTATAAAAAAAAAAAAAGATCAATACAGCAAGTCAGGAGCAATTGAAGTTCAAGGGCACGGGCTGGTTGTGCCATTTCTATTTCTCGCTTCCTCGAGTTGGACATCACCAAGCGTCGGGAGAAACACACGGCGCGCGGGGCAGGGACCTTAATTAAAGTTTCTTTTGTCCGCGTCTGAATTGGGGGATGTTGCTGGATTCCTTTGCATTGGGGAGCGCGCATCCGGTGGAGAAGATCCAGGGCCAGATTGTCCTCTTTAATACTCACTCCCTGCCCACCCACCGCCCCCACCCCCGCCCCTTCCAAACAACAGTCCGGGAGGATGGACCCATAAAGCCCTACAATAAAGGGGAGGAGGAGACGCGCGCGGAGTTGGTTCCCATCGGATAGCGGGCTTCCAAGACACAGATCCCAATCCTCCTTTTCCAAGATTTTTTTTTTCTTCCCCTCCCCATCGTTTACTCCCGGGGCAGAATGTCTCACCCAGAGGCACGATTTCACCCCCTTCGCCGTCAACACTTCCTGCCCTTTTCTCCTCCCACTCGCACTGAAAAGCTCGGGAGCCCTAAAAGGGTGTTGATGGCGGGGGTGATGATAAATAAATAAATAAATAAATAAATAAATAAATAAATAAATGACACTCTACGCGTGCGGCGGCGAAGAAAGGAGGAGCGGGGGTGGGGGGCGGGGGGGAGGGCGAGGCGAGGGGAGAGGAAAAGTAGGGAGAGGAGAGCAAGGAGGAGAAAGCGCGGAGGCGAAAGGGAGCCGGGGAGTCAGAGAAAGAGAAGAGAAAAGGAGAAAGGAGGAGAGGAGGACGGCAAGGCTGCTCAGAACTGAGGCGCCGCTGGCTTTGTGCAGAACCGGGAGGACTCCCGGCTCCCAGGTGCCCGGCGGGACCCGGGGAAGTCCTTCTGCCCCGAGCTCCTCCCCCGGGACCCCAGGGGTGTCTGAGCGCCGCCTGCCGCTCCCCCACAAATTCCTCGTGGCAACCCGAGGAAGCGCGCCAGGTCTCCGCCGTCCCTACGGTGCCCCAGCTGATCAGTTACCTCTTTGTCTTTAATAAAAAGCTGACTTTCGCTGTCAAGCCCTTGCACCCGGAACATCACCATCGTATTTCAGGGTTGGAAGCCCCTGGGACCGCTGGGTTTTGGAGGCTGTGCGGGGGAAAAAAAAAAAAAAAAATCTTGCTCGACGTGAAGGTACCTCCTGGGGTTGGCCGGGGGCGGGGGGGGGGTCGGAAGTCCTGAAGACGGGGGCCGCCCTTCCCCGGGGGCAGGGTCGCTCGGAACCGGGCGGTGGGGAGGAGGAGGAGGAGGAGGAGGAGGAGGAGGAGGGGGGGGGGGCGGGAGGAAGCGCCGAGGTCAGAGCAAACCCGGGGCTCCGGGGCACCGCGGGGCAGCCCGCAGTCGGGGAACGGGCCCTGGGGAGGAGCCTTGTGCGAGAGTGCGAGCGCGCCCCAACACGCCGCGGACCTCATAAACCCACTTGGCAAAGCCGCGGGCCGCTGGCCGACCGACTGCGGTGAACTCGAGCAATTAACCTGCGCTACGAGGAAACGGGCTGCCGCCCGCTCACACTCACCTCCAGCGACCGACACAGAGAGCTCCCGAACCGGCCGCGGGGGGACCTGGCTCCTCCCTCCCGTCCCAGGAGAAGAGGACAAAAAGGGGAGATGGACTTGGAGATGGCCCCGCCCTTCAAACGCTCCAATCCTTGGAAACTAAACCTCCTCTCCAAGCCTCCCCGTCTACAAGGGACAAAGGCAGCGAGGAGATCCTGAGACCGATGGGTGGCTTCGGGGCTCCTCCCGAGGGGACGTGGGGGGGGGGGGGCAAGGTACGGTGGCTGAGTCCCCATCCCAAATACAGGACAGTCTTTAGAAGACCATCTTCTGGTTTAGCAGCGAATTGACTTCCCAAAGCCGGGAAGCGAACTCCTGCAAAACTCCCGCAAAGCCTTTTTGAATGTGCAAAGGCTAAATTTTCAATTAGTGATGCCACACACACACACACACACACACATTTTTTTTTCCCGACTTCTTTTGGAGGCACAAGTGCCCGAACTGTCCAACTAAAATAAAAGAAAAAAAAATTGTAACATGGTTGGGGATTAGGCTTTTTTTTTTTTTTAATTGGGGGCAGTTTTCTTTCAAATGATAGGAAAGCAACTGGGAAAATAAAAAAAGGTGGGTCAAGTCAAGGAAAGAGCGCTGTGGCTGCAGGTTTTAGAGAAAACCTTGATAAAGTTGGCACTTGAGTAACCGTAATTATGCTTTGCCATTAGCGGACAATTAAGATAACAGGAGAAAGTTCTCACCTCCTGCTATGTCATTCCTTCAGAATATTCATAAGGATAATGCAAGGCTCCTTGGTGGAGTTATTCTCCTCCTCCAGGAAGGTTAGTTTCTCAATTTTTTGCATTAAAAATGGAAAAGTTTAGGTTTTGTGCACAGCCAGCCATGTGAGGGAAGTCTCATGGGGACATGGGGACTGCGTGAAATTTGCCTTTTGTTACCCTATCCCATGCCACTGTGCCCTGGAGTCATACAGGATTTCACGATTTTATTAATGTTCATAAGGAAATATGAATATGTTGGAAGTCTGGACTTTCTTCTCCCTTATCATGGGTGACTGGCATACAGGCTCCTCATAAAGGGAAATTATGGCTCATCAAAAGAGTGACTTTATGAGCATTAACAGAATAATAAATCTTGCTATTTTAGTTCAAGAAACAGTGGAGTCCTATAATTAGAGTGACCCATGCAAATATGATCCACTTAATGTGCCCACCTCTAGCAGGATAGGGGTAGCCTATAAATCATTTTGGGCTTTAAAGGTTTAGGAAAGGAAGGCACCCAGATCTCTCTGGCAGGAAAAGGGCCTTCTGTCACCTGCAGGAAGGAATCATGGAAAGAAGGAAGAGTTGGTCCAGAAGCTTCATTAAAAAGACAGAATTTCAACTGAAACCAGAGTTATTCACTCATTGTTACAATATTTACATTATATAAAAAAAGGAAAAGTCCTCCTTCCTGAAAACTATACAAAAAAACAAAGCAAAAATCCAGTTTATAACCCCACTTTCCAAATTCCAGCTGGAAAACTGTTCATGCTGATGATTTTAGCAAAGCAAAGAGCAAATGAACGGAATATGGCTTTTTCAGAAGTCTCGATTATTCCATCTTTAAACATTTGACCATATTGTGACAGACCTCTTGAACTTGATGGTATTTTCCCGCCTGTGTAAAAATCCTTTACTGAGCGGTTCAATACAGTCTTTTACTATTTGAGTTTCTGACTTTCAAAGGGTTGCTCCCAATCCTTCAGATCTTTTACTCTTGTTGGAAATTACTCAGTCCTTAAAAAGTTTTTTGTTTTTCTGAAAACTTCGAATTCGGTGATTACGGATCCACCAAATATCCAAAACGTGAAGTCGCTAGCACCTTACTCAGCCCTTACCGGAAAATCAATATATTCTCATAAACCCATATCCAAATATACATAACTAGTTGACTAGTGTCCATGCCTCTGGAGGAGTGACTGAAAGACAACAAAGGTGGATAATTCATGGTTCTGAACAGCTTTCAAAAGAAGAGAAATTGCAATAACTTATATTAAACTTACTCCTTATGAATCTTTGTATAAATACCTTTGGATACCAGAAAGAAATAGCAATGTTCTAAAATTCCAAAAAAAAAAAAAAAAAACAAAAACCTTCTACCATAGGTACAAGTTAAATTTACAGTTCTATCAAGCTAGTTACTGTAACATAGAACATTCATGTGTAAGATCATTCAATAGTTGAATAGCTGTTTAGCAACTACAATGTGCCACACTCAGAGCCGAATATTAGGGATGCAAAGATGAATGAGAGATGATATGTTAGAATCTCAGTGCATGACCTACTTGCTGAGCCATTAGCTTTAAAATCACATTATTTATAGAACTTTAGTTTGTCTTTTGTTTTTGTTTTTTTAACTTTCTCAAAATCAATACAGGGATTTAGCCAATTTGGAGACTTTGACTTGAACATTTCTGCTCCTATTTTGGAGTT